GGGAAAACCAAAACAGAGACATGAGAGCAAAATGCAGAGACAGTAAGGGAAAGAGAGAGACAGAGACGACACCGAGGGGCAGAGAGGATTCCAACCAGACAAGGACTGGGCACTTTCGGTGATCAGGGCTCCGTGATGTGTGATTCCTGCACAGACTGCCCACCTCTGGGCCTTCGTTTCCCTCTGTGACATGACGCCGACCACTGCACCTACCTGGCAGGACTGAGTGTCCATGGTCAGCCAGGGCCTGGCACTCAGTAAGTGCTTCATAAATGCACACTGTGGCCAGTGACACCATTATAGGAGCAAGTGCCCTGGCCGGGGAGCTCAGCTGGTTGAAGTGTGGTCCAGATGCATCAAGGTGGAGGGTTCAAGCCAGGTCAGGGCACATACAAGAACCCACCAATGAATGCATAAGTAAGTGGAACAACTAATTGACAATTTTTCTCTCTCTCAAAAAAAAATCAATAAAGATTAAAAAACAAAACAAAACAGGCACTGGAACAGGATGTGGGGTGGAGAGAGTGGGGGCAGGGGACACCCCAGCGGACTCTTTCCGGGCAGCGAGCATGTGAGGTCCCAAAGCCTGCCTCCTCAGCTGACCTACTTCCTGCCTGGCCGAAACTTTCGGGTGCTCCCCCCGCCCACACCACACACACCAGGAACCCACACAGCTGGTCTCGGAGCCGAGCTGACCACTTCCACCCCTAGCAATCTGGGCCTTGCTGATTCACACTCAGCTGCCCCCCCACCCCCCCCAAAGAGGGCTGAGGGGGGGAGGGGCTGGCAGAGTCCCAAACCCAGAACGCAGGGAGGTCAGGGCCCATCGGCAGCATCACAGAGGAGAACCAAACGCCAGCTTTGACGTCCAGGCAAATGAAAACACACCCTTCACGAGAAAAGCATGAATAATGGTGTCAGTGGTGAGAGAATGAGCTGTCGGTTCCTGTCTTCTCGAAGGAAAGACTTCAGTCAAGAGACAAAGTGCAGCAAAGCAAGACTTCCCTGGCGGCAGCAAGTGCACACTCAGGACAGCGAGACAAGGAGGGGCTCCGCATAGAGAAGCAGCGGGAGACCCAGCGGCCGCTTTGGCTCACTGGGAAGTCAGAGAAAAGAGGGCCTTGGGGGGGGCTACAGTTTATCCTGGGGGGGGGGGGGGGCCCAGGACCAGCTGCTGCTGCCCACTGCTCCCTCAGTTGCGAGTCTTGTGGGGCCCCTTAGAGGGAAGAAGGGGGGAAGGGCACGGGTCAGGCCTGCCCCCCTGGGGGAGAGCGTGCGATGGGGTACTGCATTGAGGGTGTTTAGCTCTCTCTTGCAGGCAGGAACCCTAGGGGAGGGCTCAGGGGAGGGTCTCAGTAGTCATCCCTCCAGGGGTGTCCTTTTAGGGCTGTGGTCTCCTCTTATTGGTCCGCACCAGGGGTCATTCGGCAGTGAAGCTGCCCTGAGGCAGGCACAGCATTGCTTGTCTGGTTTTGCTGCTTTTCTGGGCCTGGAGCTAAAATAGGACTGAAGCTTAGATGTTATCTTCAGAGGGGAAAAGTCAGGGTGTCTAAACCGCATAACCGCGATATGAAAGGCCAGGGGTCCAAACCACGTGATCAGCCATACGCTGCGGGGGAGGTCCTCCGGGGAGTGAGGTCCCTCTGTTCCCGCTCTGCCCCTTGGTAGGCACCCAGGGCTTCCCAGGCTCGTGACCTTCTTCTTCTTTTTTTTAATTGTTTTATTGCTTAAAGTATTACAAAGAGTATTATATCGGTCTCCTTTTTATTTTTTCCCCTTGACCTTCCCCAGCCTCCCCTACCCCCCAGTGTCTTGTGTCCATTGGTCATGCTTATATGCATGCATACAAGTCCTTCAGTTAATCTCTTACCCCCCTCCTCACCCTCCCCGGCCTTCCCGCTGCAGTTTGACAGTCTGTTCAATGCTGCTCTGCCTCTGGATCTATTTTTGCTCATCAATTTATAATGGTCTTAATTATCCACTAATGAATGAGACCGTGTGATATTTATTTTTTATCTGACAGGCTTATTTCAATTAGCATAATGCTCTCCATGCCCATCCAAGCTGTTGTGAATGGTAAGAGGTCTTTCTTTTTTACAGCAGCATTGTATTCCATTGTGTAGATGTACAACAGTTTTTTTCCACTCATTTGCTGATGGGCACTTAGGTTGATGGGCATTTAGGCTGTTTCCAACT